GCATGTCTCGGGATAATGACTTGAACCCAGATCTATCACATCCTCATAGCATGTTCTCACAAAGGTTTTGGCTACACTGCACACTTATTTCAAAATAACTCATGTTTGAAATAACAGAGTACGCATCTCCACAGATTTTGAAATAACAGGCATCTTACCCTGACTTCTGTAACTCTCATTTCAGGAGGAGTAAGGGAAGTCGAAGGAAGAGTGTTCTTCCTTCAACTTCCTGCAGTATAGACAGTGCTGAAAGCTGAGTTAAGGTACTTTGACTTCAGCTATGCAATTAACATAGCTGCAATTGTGTATCTTAATTCAACTTTAGCCCATAGTGTAGACATAACCTAACTGAGCTCTGAGGTATTCAGGAGTGAGTCACTCTCCCTCTGTTTTAATTACAAGTTTTCCGTGTTCTCAGTTTTAACCAATGAGGAATGGGATATTCTTCAAATCTCATAAATATTCACAGGAGAGGAAAATTCTTGTCCATCATACTTTATATTAGGATATACTCTCATTTATACCAAGGCCTTTTTACTCCACTCTGAACTTTATACTTCTGCACTGATGTGGAAAGGGGCCCTGGTGTAAAGAGGAATCTGTTCATTGTATTTCTAATACTGAGACAATGACTTATGATCTCTCTCTCTCTCTCTCTCAGTTATACCATCTCAATTATGCCCACTTACTCCCATGACTAGCTAAATTCATTATTATTGGTGTAGAGGAATAACAGATCCACTACACCTTAGGGACAGAGTGTTGACACATTTTGTTAATAGCCTTTGCATTGTAAGTTACTTGTAACTGTTCATTATAATTTCATTATGTATAAGAAACTCAGGTCAAATTAACTTGTAAAGCAAAGATTTCTTGGCACTCTGTGCAATAGGATGAAGTAAAAATCAAATACAACATCTTTTTGAAAGAAAGTAATGGAAACCCAATGTTCTATCCAGTTCCAATTAGGGTTTTATAATAGCCTCTGTAGCAGTGACTCACCTTGCCACCTCAGTAAACAGGTGAGCTATATATATTATGGTACAGCAAAGAAATCCGTCCACTTCCACAAATTCCTGAAGGGTGCAGAAGACTTCTCCTACCTGCCCAGAAAAGCAAGGTAACATTTGCATTCCTTTATTTAAAATGTGGTGTCCATAATCTCAGGTCTTAAAATAGAATCTGCTACAAAGAAGGCCATTCAAAACATTGGGGAGCTAAGAGAAATACCTTGCTTTTTTCAATTAAATCATACAGTTTAAAAAAATATTCAGAGCATCAGCAAAAGTAAGAAGAGAAAATATGGAAAGAATCAAGAAACAATAAAAAGTGGCTTTGTCAGAGGTGGATAGATAGATAGATAGATAGATAGATAGATAGATAGATAGATAGATAGATAGATAGATAGATAGATAGATTCCAGTACGTCTTTGTGTGCATTATTCGCTTAGATGACATTTTCTAAGGGTGTGTCTACACAGCAAAGTTATTGAGGAATAAATATGCAAGCATCTACACAGCAATTCCGTTATTTCAAAATAATTTTGAAATTATTCCAACTTCTGTAAACCTCTGCTACGAGGCATAACGGCTATTCCAAAATAGCTATTTCAAAATAAGTCGTGTGCAGATGCTCCACTGCTGCGATTTTGAAATAGCTCCTTACCAGGGCCGTTCTAAGTTATTCCTCTTGGGGCTCTAAATCGAGATAGTATGTCTACATTAGGAAAGCCTGCCTCAGACTAATTTTGAGGCTTCCCAGCAGTGTAGACGTGCTATTTCGAAATAAGCTATTTCAGAATAATTATTCCGGAATAGCTTATTCCTAAATAACTGTGCAGTGTAGATGTAGACTAACAGAGAACAGAGATTATGTCTCTTTACATATCCATAAACTGACTTGCACACATATAAACTATCTAAAGAACAATAATAAGGAATAATTATAAAGCAATTTCAAGAGATAGTAAACAATGAATGAGAGATTGCACTTTTGCAGAGAGGAACATAGTATGGTTTGTATGAATAATTCAGGCAAGACTGAGTCTTTTCAGGATTCAGCCATTGGGAGGGGAACAGAATTGCACCCAAAAGGTATTCTGCCTGAACACCTGAAATAATAAAAGCTGGAGGTCCTGCAGAGGTGCCAATGGGCCATTCCAATGAAGTTAATGGAATTTTTCACACGTACAATTTACACAGCTGACTATAGGATTAGAGTCAAAAGTTTAACTCTTAGATCAATTAGGTCTACATTTTCTGAAGTAAAAGTATTTGTTTGAACATTTCAGGATGTCACTTTTCTAAAGCATCTAAGAGACTTATCAGTATGAGTCCTATTGATTTTCAATATGATCTGCAGTTCTTTTTGTAAGTTTGCAGGGAGCATGCACAAAACTCATATTTAGTTTTTCTTACTAAAATTTAGAGCAACATTTTTTGCCATTTCCTTGGGGGAGATTCCTCAGTCCTAGCTGCAAATTTAACCATATTCACAATTTCAATTACGTGGTTAATTTCACCTCAGAACATGACATATCATATATTTCATAAGTTTTGGAAGCCAGTCACTAGTTTGTGAAAAAGGATTTTTTTTTACATAGATAACACAGTTTGCTCTTAGGGTATGTCTACACTACAAAGTTTTTTCAGATAATCATCAATTTTTCTGAAAAAACTTCATTTGTGTCCACACTGCAATTGTATTCCTTCAAAAAAAAATCATAGAATCATAAAATACTAGGACTGGAAGGAACCTCGAGAGGTCATCGAGTCCAGTCCCCTGCCCTCATGGCAGGACTAAATACTGTCTAGACCATTCCTGATAGACATTTATCTAACCTACTCTTAAATATCTCCACAGATGGAGATTCCACAACCTCCCTGGGCAATTTATTCCAGCGTTTGACTACCCTGACAGTTAGGAACCTTTTCCTAATATCCAACCTAAACCTCCCTTGCTGCAGTTTAAGCTCATTGCTTCTTGTTCTATCCTCAGAGGCCAAGATTAACAAGTTTTCTCCCTCCTCCTTATGACACCCTTTTAGATACCTGAAAACTGCTATTATGTCCCCCCTCAATCTTCTCTTTTCTAAACTAAACAAAACCAATTCGTTCAGCCTTCCTTCACAGGTCATGTTCTCTAGATCTTTAATCATTCTTGTTGCTCTTCTCTGGACCCTCTCCAATTTCTCCACATCTTTCTTGAAATGAGGTGCCCAGAACTGGACACAATACTCCAACTGAGGCCTAACCAGCGCAGAATAGAGCGGAAGAATGACTTCTCATGTCTTGCTTACAACACACCTGTTAATGCACCCCAGAATCATGTTTGCTTTTTTTGCCACAACATCACATTGCTGACTCATATTCAGCTTGTGGTCTACTATAACCTCTAGATCCCTTTCTGCCATACTCCTTCCTAGACAGTTGCTTCCCATTCTGTATGGGTTGTCTAGACTACAGGGTTTTGTCGACAAAAGTGGACTTTTGTCGACAAAACTATACCTGCATCCACACTGCCTTTGAGTTATGTCAACATAACGTCGACAAAACTCAGCCGTTTTGTCGACGTATGTAAACCTCATTCTACGAGGAATAACGCCTTTTGTCCACAGAGTTCTGTCGATAGAAGGCATTATTGCATCTACACTGTCCTTTGCATCCACACTGTTATGTCGACAAAGCGGCTTGCTTTGTCAACAGAACTGGATGTAGTCTAGATGCTCTTTGTCGACAGGTCGACAAAACTTCTGTCGACAAAACCCTGTAGTCTAGACGTACCCTATATGTGAAACTGATGGTTCCTTCCTAAGTGGAGCACTTTGCATTTGTCTTTATTAAACTTCATTCTGTTTACCTCAGACCATTTCTCCAATTTGTCCAGATCATTTTGAATTATGACCCTATCCTCCAGAAGCGACGAGGAGTCCTGTGGCACCTTATAGACTAACTGAAGTGTAGGAGCATAAGCTTTCGTGGGCAAAGACCCACTTCGTCAGATGCATGACATGCATCTGACGAAGTGGGTCTTTGCCCACGAAAGCTTATGCTCCTACACTTCAGTTAGTCTATAAGGTGCCACAGGACTCCTCGTCGCTTCTGGAGGATAGGGTCATAATTCAAAATGATCTGGACAAATTGGAGAAATGGTCTGAGGTAAACAGAATGAAGTTTAATAAAGACAAATGCAAAGTGCTCCACTTAGGAAGGAACCATCAGTTTCACATATAGGGAAACATTCTTTTCTGAGGGGGACGGAGGCGCCCTTCTGTTGCCCTGACATTTCATCTCGGGAGCTATGCTGTCTGCCAGGGTTCCCATATCTGAGATGTTACAGAGGCATTGTCAAGGATTATCTAGCCCTCTGACTACTACCCCATGCTACTCATCCATGTGGGTCACAAATAATACCACAAGGTGTGACACTGAGATGATCAAGAGTGACTACAGGGCTCTGGGAGTATGAGTGAAGGAGTTTGGAGTACAGGTGGTAGAGGCATATAAATTAGACATACCGACATAGTCAATGAAGTGAGGGATTTAAATATCCCCCGCTTCATTAGAATAAAAATGGCTGCCACGTTGTGCCGGCTCAGCTGTTTGCTGGCACGAACCGGCAGTCAAGATGGGGATTGGTCGGCAAGGAAAGCCTGTGCCGACTGATCCTGTAAACTTCCTTGCACGAGGTATAAAGAATCGGTCAGCAAAGGCTTTCCTTGCCAACTGAGCCCCATCTTGACTGCTGGTTCGTGCTGACAAACAGCTGAGCCACCACAATGCGGCAGCCATTTTTATTCTAATGAAGCGGGGAATATTTAAATCCCCGCTTCACTGACTATGTTGGTATGTCTAATTTACATGCCTCTGGCAACAGAGGCATGTTGTCTAGACATACCCCTACTACAATATATGGCAGCACACTTCTGCTTCAATGTGTTTAGATACAGATAAGCTGGCGACTAGAAGGAGAACTAAGCAGGTTGTTTTTCTCTTTTCAGAGATGATTCTGCTCGCTGCATTCCTGGGTCTGGCAGCTATGCTGCAGCGAACCGTCGGAGAGGAAGCACAAGAGGTGAGTGGGGAACACATTTCTAAACACATTAAAACTGAGAATGTGTCTTGTCCTCAATCAGGACAAAAAATTAAAAAATCGAATATTTTTGCAAACTGGTGAAGAAAAAAGCTATTGGTTCACCTTATTCAAAACATTCCACTTCACTCATTTCAAAGCATTTCATACTGATTTAGACTATTTGGGGGGTGATGGTGACATTTTAAACCCCACTAAATCCCTAAAGCAACAGAAGCATTTGAGGCAATTCAAGTCCTTAAAGTAGCACAAGTGTTCAACGCAAACTAAAGGCCAGATCCTGCAAATACACCCATGATTAACTTTACTCACGTAAAAAACAACAAATAATCTAGCAACACCTTAAACGTGTAGATGGTATCGTGAGCTCTCGTGGGTACAGCCCACTTTGCTGCTAGGCTATTCTTTGTTTTTTTAGTTTTTCCTGTTACAGGCTAGCTCGGTATCCCTCTGAAGCTTTACTCACATAAGCAGTCCTCTCTATGGCAACAAGATTACTCATGTCATTAAAGTCAGACACATGAATAAGCAATTTTAGGATTAGGGCCTCAAACCCTTTGGCTAAGAAAGGCTGAATGAAAAAGTGAAATAATATTAACAGATCTTAGAAGTTCATAATTGGGAAAACTGAGAGTTGCAATGAAATTTATTTTCAAATCTTACATATATCATTCACTATAAAGAAGAAATGTTATACCGCAATAAAGAACTGAAATGTTTCATTCTATTTTCCCACATGTGAAAGGAGTAAGAATTTGAAAGTGATAAAAGCTTCAGGCAATATTTTAAAAAAATGTTTAATAGTCACATACCTCCATTAAATTGTGATAGAGATGCAGCCGTGTTAGTCTGGTCTAGCTGAAACAAAAGACAGAACTATGTAGCACTTTAAAGACTAATAAGATGGTTTATTAGGTGATGAGCTTTCGTGGGCCAGACCCACTTCCTCAGATCAATTTGTGGAAGAAAATTGACACAACCATATGTACTAGTGATGCGATCAAAAAAATGAATGCATGTGAAATTGACAAATCAAATTTTAGAACAGAGTGGGGGTGAGGGGAGAAGGTTAGGAGTAGCTTTGCTATATCTCCATGTAGTACTTAACACTGTGGGATCTTCATACATGACTGGGGTTTCTAGAAGCAGCTAAAATGTAAATGCATAAATAATAAAATATACATAGTTGTTCCTTTCTTTACCAGCATTGAATTTGGCTAAATACACAGTATTTAAAAGAATCCAGCAGTCTAGGCAAAATCCTAAGCTTAGATAATAATATTACTTTCTCAATTCTAAATTGAGCTCACCAGGACAACACAAGAAGATGGGTGCAACATAACATAGAATAAAGACATTAGAATCTGACCCATAATTCAGTAACTAATGATTGATTCATTCTGATTAAATTAATTTTAAAATATTTCATAAGCTAATGTTGCTTGCAAAGGCTTGTTAACTGGAATGCATTCCTAGGGTCACATATAAGAACATAAGAAGTACATAAAATACTTTAGGCTCACACACCCATATTCACTGGGGAAAAAACTATTGCATTTTTTTCATTTAGACACCTGATTTTGCTGCCCTGTCTACTGACAATGAAGATCAACAAAGGGAAATTGTTGACAAGCACAATGCCCTAAGGAGAGAAGTGAAGCCAACTGCTGGCAACATGCTGAAGATGGTAAGATGCATTATGCGAAAGCAATGAGATCAGAGCATGTGTCCTGGCAGAAAACATGCCATGTGAATCCTTTTCCCAGTAAGATGTTAGAGGCTATAGGAGTTATCAAGGGAAAGGAGCAGGTTGGGGATGATAAGTCTAACTATTCATGAACAATAATGTCTCCTTTGGAAGTGAACAGAAGAGCCACTAGCTCTGGTCTGCCAGGTTACCCTGTGATGTATTCTCCACCTAGCTAATCACCTAGCCTCTTCCTGAGGTGTGCAGCTCCTGAGCTAACCTCCCTTTGCTATCCAAAAGAAAGACAAGGAATTGTTGAAAAGATTTTAAACATGGAAAATGCATTTTCCAAGTATATGTTCTCTTTTACATTCTGCACTATGAAGTATGAAGCGATACACATCTAAACATCTGGTATTTCACATTTCATCCAGGAATGGAGCACCAAAGCTGCAGAGAATGCCAAGATTTGGGCAAATGAGTGTACTTTATCCCACAGTCCCCCAAACAGGAGGAAAACCAGTAAGTAAACTGTCAGTTTTAAATGAATAATTCATAATTCAACCCATTACAAGAACAATTTTTCAGGAAATATTACCCTATTCATATTAAATAGGTATTACTATTTTGCTGAAAATATTATAACATTGGACTGTATGGATTCATCTATCCTGCAATAAGACTGGACGATGTTTAGTGTTTAGTATTTCTGAATATAGGCACATTTTTTCAACAATAAACAAATAATGTAAAATTTCCAAGAAAGCTCATCATTTGGGGGAAAAGGTGGAAATATATGCAATTGTTTTCAAATTTATCTCCTTCCAATTCCCCTCCTCCTGCACTTTATCCCCAAATAGCTCTTTTACAGTAGTATCATAGAATCATAGAACACTAGAACTGAGCTCCTAGTTAAGCCAAGGTGGTCTTTTCCATACTTTCTATAGTTCCTACACAGTGGAATATCTTGCTTTTTTGGCTCTTAATAATGTACCTTTGAAAAACTGCCAACTCTCTTCAGTTGTTTTTCCTCTTAGTCTTGCTTTCCATGGGACCTTACCTACCAGCTCTCTGGGTTTACCAAAATCTGCTCTCCTGAAATCCATTGTCTCTATTTTGCTTTTCTCCCTTCTACCCTTCCTTAGAATTATTGAACTCTATGATTTCATGATCACTTTCACCAAAGCTGACTTTCACTTCCAGATTCTCAACCAGTTCCTCCCTATTTGTTAAAATCAAAACTACAACAGCTTCCCCCCAGTAGCTTTTTCAACCTTCTGAAATAAAAGTTCTTTAAAAGACTAGATAAAAAACAAAATCTTCTAGACACACAAGGGTTTGAATGCAGATCCAAATTTAGGCTTTGATTCTGATTTATGTTGCACCATTTTATACAGCTGTAATTTCACTGACTTCCATTGAGTTAAACCCGAGTCCCCATTTAAGAAACTTTGCAAGAATACCAATTGTCCCAATTCCAATTAAGAGCAAGGTGGATTAACAGTAGCTCCATGAAATGCTATTCTGGTTGCATTGGACTAGGAATCAGGGTTCAATGTCCAGGAATATATTTTTGTGCTCACAGCAATGTTTGTCTAGCGCAAGGACAGCTCAGTGTGTTCGAGATCTCTTGGCATTTTTGGTGGATCTGGAATCTGTTGCCTTATTGATGCCATGGAGGTTCAGGTGTACATTTGAATCTATTTATATTCCTGAGAATCAAAGTTAGCCTTTGACACACAGGGAATTACCCAACACTATTCACCCATGATCTGGAGAGTGACGAAGGGCAGGAAGGAGAGTGTGGGTATTCTGGAAATGAAACAGATTCTTCCCACCTGGCTGCCCTTGAATCTTCTGCTCATTCTCCACCTCTTTCCCAACCCCAGGCTGAAGTTCTTGCATCTTCTTAAGCCCCTTTCCTCAGGTTTTGTGAATGGTTTCCTTTCCAATTTCAGCTCTGAGCTGTGGAGAAAATCTCTTGATGTCCGTTGCACCTCATCCATGGTCGATTGTCATTCAAAGTTGGTACAATGAGGTGGAAAATTTCAAGCATGGCATTGGGTTAACCAAACCAGGAGAAGACACTGGCCATTTTACTCAGGTATGGACCAAAGCTCCATTAGTTACAATCATGTTTTCATGGATACATATTTAGGTAAATGATGACTGAGGGTAGTAGAATTAAGAGCTTCAATATATTTTTAGAGAATAAACACTACGAAGGATAATAATCATTCCAACAGAGCAAAAGTAATGGAACAAAAAAATGGAAAATTAAAATATGAATACGAGAGACTAAATATTATGACCAACTTATTATATCAAATGAATTTGTGGAAACCCCTTCTCTTAGTTAATTTAAAACTTAGCTAGACTGAGCTCTGAAAATTTAGGTAATAATATCACTCTGGCAGAGGGATAGACTTGATAATCTACTTGATTTTTTTCTTGCGGAAATACTGTTCTTGCTGTACCAATGGCAAAATAGGCACCAAGTTGTTATTTTCCCTTAGCATTCCTTCAGACACATACACATTCACAATTTACAAATCAATTCCAACTAAATTACTACAGGCTAGGAAGGAAGAATGTCTGAGAGAATTTAATTGTGTTTTTAAAATATTTTGGAAACAATAGGTTGTTCCTGGAATAAAGGCAAAAAAGAACCTTGATAAATAAATCAGTTGGTTCACAAACCATCTGTAGAATTTTATTCTTTTACACATACCTTGCAGGAGCAGTTTCTTACAATCCTGCCAATAGGAAACTGCTACAAGTTGAAAATTCCTAGGAGCATTTCTATATAAAGAACTGTATGTAGCTGCTCGCAGTAGGATTGTGCAATTTCTGGTAGCAATATATTATAGGAGCAGTTCCTTAGGATCATACCAATCAGAAACTGCTACCAGTAGCACAGTCTTACAATTTTAGCTAGTGAATCCTGCTTCTTACTGAATAATCTGTGGTTGAACCAGAGTTTGTGTATGTATGTATGTATATGATTTCATTTAAATATTCCAGATGACTGAGAATCTACCATGTTGCTTTGGTTTCATTCCTATTATATCCTATAAATTGTGAATAAGACCATACAAACAGTACATAGGGTTTCTTCTTCTTTTTTGTTTTGTTTTTTGTTTTTCTTCTACAAGATGTGACGTATATTCTGCCAGATGGTGTAATAACACAAAGGTGCATCTACACTGCACCTGTAGGTTGAAATAAGATATGCAATTTGAGCAATTCAAATTGTGTGTCTTATTTCAATCTATTTTTGACATTGCTTATTTCAAAATTTGGCTCTGTATTTTGAAATAAAGTGCTATTCCAATAAGTCTCCTAATCCTGTAACGAGGGTTACAGGGACACCAGGATAGCACACCATTTATTTCAAAATCTTTTTTGAAATAACGGGCACATTTAAAGACATGGAATAGCTTTTTCTGGATACTTCTGGTATCCTGAAATAGTGCCTCTGTCTAGATGTAGCTACATTGTGCGCAAATCTAGCTTCAAAGAAAATCTCTTCAAATACATATTTTCGATTAAAAATATTGAGCCCTTCACATTTACTCATGTATTTCCTCTTCTGTCTCCAGGTTGTATGGTACAGTTCTTACGAGGTTGGATGTGCAGTTGCTTATTGTCCTGAAAAATATTTCAAGTACTATTACGTTTGCCAGTACTGCCCTCAGTACGTATTAGCTATAGATTTAATTGATTATTAGAATTCTCTGTGTTTTAATTCATCAAAATGTTGCAGCTACATCATACCATATACAATTTTATGTGTGTTTATGATCAGAGGGGAAATTCAATAATAATAGTACTTAGAAGCACACGTGGAAATTACAATCTAAAATTAAAATAAAACTACCCACAAAACCAATTGCCCCATAAGGTCTCCTCTGCTTAAACATATACATATTTTTCTAACTGCTTAGAAAGTGAAAATGAAGATGTGTGTATTTCTAGCTATTGGGGATCTGCAAGAAGTTTTCCCTGGGGCATTGTATCCAATAAATGCCTCCTGCAGCATTCAATGCACCTAAGTTCTGAAGTAGCAGTGCTGGTCACCACGAGCCTTCTGTTCAGGATGGCACACATGAACTTGCAAATATCATAAGCAATCCATGATTGGCAATAAAGCCAACAAGAAAGAGTTTCAAAACAGAGCAGGTTGTTTGACCACTCATCTTTGATTCATATTAATACGGTAGTTACACTCTGAAATTTGAAATTGCTGCAGGGCATGCACTGGAGAAAGGGTGTGTTTACACTGCAGCTGGAGGGATGACTATGGGTACGTCTAGACTACCGCGTTTTGTCGACGGAACTCAGCGGTAGTGTAGACGCTGGTATAGTTTTGTCAACAAAAGTCCACTTTTGTCGACAAAACTAGGTAGTCTAGACACACCCTAGATGAGCTGCAATCGCACCTGAGCTAGTTTTATCCTAGCTAACTTTCAAAAAATAATAGTGAGTGTGCATCAAAACAGGCTTCAGCCCAGTCTGTATAAGGATGCCTGGCCTCTGTGGGCACATATTCACTTGTGTAGTCTTGGCTGTGCTTGTTCTAGGGCATCTTTGCTATTTTAACGTTGTGGTTAGAGTCGAACTAGCGCAGGAATATCTACACAAACTGCAAAGCACACCTCCCCCTGACTGCAGCATCAATGAAAATGTGTGTTGTATATTGGCTTTGCATTTTATGCTGTTTCATTTTACCATTTCAGGGGGAACAATTAACACTTAATAAACACACCTTACAAAGCCGGAACAGCATGCGAACATTGCCCGGATGCTTGTGACAATGGACTATGTAGTAAGTTTTAGCAGCATTTAAATATGGTAGTAGCATAGTTGTCGCTGACTAAAACAATGCTTCATTCCATTGACGGGAAGACTTTGGAAAACGATCCACTCAAAAACCACAAATAAGGAGCTAATCTGTAATTCCCGTACACAAATTCATGGCTGGGCATGTTATGTTTCAAAATGAGCAAAGGCCACCTCCTGTCCCATGTAGAGGCACTTTGACCATTTAGGCATGTCTACACTAGGAAATTATTTCGAAATAACTAAATTCAAAATAATAACTCCCAAAATAACCAAATCTAAATGGGTATGTCTACACAGCAAAGTTAATTTGAAATCACAGCCATTATTTCAAATTAACTTTAACAGCGTCTATACATACAAACAGCTATTTTGAAATTAATTAGAAATAGCAGAGTGCTTAATTCGAATTTGGTAAACCTCATTCTACGAGGAGTAACACCAAATTTGAAATAGCTATTTTGAATTAAGTGCTGTGTAGAGACTTAATTCGAAATAGGAGGCCTCTAGCCCTTCCCAGGGAGCCCTGGTGGCCACTCTGGTCACAACCAGGAAAACTTACTCTCCTCTCCCCCAGCCCCGGAGCCATTAAAGGGGAAGACCCTGGTCACAGTGCCTGTGCCAGCTCCAAGACTGCCAGCCCAGAGCCAACAGTGGCCACCGGGGCCCCCCACC